CAAATTTGCTATTTACTTTCTATTATATGTGTCAATCTTCTTTTTTCTTTTCCTTTAGCAATTTCCTTTTGCTATTTAATTTATGTTTAAGTATATAAATCGTAAACTTATTTTTATTGTTTATCATATACAGAGAAGAATTAGAGACAAAATGAAATTAATATGGATATTAATAGATATGATTCTATATAAAGTTTAAATGTAAACTATATTTTTGACAAGTGGTAGTACCTACATTTGACACATGTTTTATGTATCTTCTTTTAATTTGTTTCAAATAATAATAATTTTATTCAACTAACAGTAAACAAATAATCATTAATTTCATTATGCGGCAAAATTACTAAATTTAAACGTTTAATTTATAATTATGTCAACATTACTTACGTATGCATGAGTATTAGTAATAATATTAGTATTAGCATCAATATCAATATGAATATTAGTATCAATATTAATAACAATATCAGTATCACTCTGAGTATGAGTATGAGTATGAGTATGAGTATGAGTATGAGTATGAGTATGAGTATGAGTATGAGTATGAGTATGAGTATGAGTATGAATATGAATATGAGTATGAGTATGAGTATGAGTACGAGTATGAGTATAAGTATGGGTACAAATATCAGTATCAGTATCCGTATCAATATCAGTATAAGTATCAGTATAATATCAGAATAATATCAGTATCAATATCATTAATAGTATCAATATCAGTATTAATATCAATATCAATATCAATATCAATATCAATATCAATATCAATATCAATATTAGTATTAGTATTAGTATTAGTATTAGTATTAGTATTAGTATTAGTATTAGTATTAGTATTAGTATTAATATTAGCATTAGTATTAGTATTAGTATTCGTTTTAGTATCAGTATCAGTATCAGTATTAGTATAAGTGTATTAATATCAATATTAGTATTAATATGAGCATCAATATTAGTATCACTATCAACATTAGTATTAGTATTAGTATTAGTATTAGTATTAGTATTAGTATTAGTATTAGTATTATTATTATTATAATATTAGTATTAGTATCAGTATCAGTTTTAGTATCAATATCAGTATCAGTATCACTATCAGTATTAATATCATTATGAATAACAACATCAGTATCGGTATCAATATGCGTATAAGTATCAGTATCAGTATCAATATTTGTATCAATATATGTATGATCAATATATGTATGAGTATTGGTAGGAATATTAATATTGGTATTAGTATTGGTATTAATATTGGTATTAGTATTAATAATAGTATTAATATGAGTATTAGTATTAATATCGGTATTGATATCAGTGTCAATATGTGTATGTGTATCAGTATGTGTATTAATATTAGTGTCAATATTACTATCAGTATAAGTATCAGTATCGGTATCAATATCAATATCAGTATTATTTTCATTATTATTATTATCATTATTAGTATTATTATTAGTATTCGAATTCATATTAGTCA